CATTCTTCTATGATTACCATGCAGAAAAGGAATACTGCGAAAACAACCCTTTCCATACACACGACAATTTACGTCATATCATAGATCATCTAATTTTCATCATTTCGTTGACAATCTACTAGATACTAAAAGGATGCTATATTCACTTCGAATAATTGACAATAAAAGCATTTATCTCTTAAGACACAGAAAAATGCGTTTCTTCGAATCATTTTTCTCACAGCTTTGGGCATTATTTCTATTGATTTTCATTTTTCCACTAGAACACGAGTAGTCTTCATATATACAACAATTTTCCCCCTTTGAATCAAATCTATGTGAATCACCGTTATATCGATGTCAACCAAACTAAGACACGGACACAAAAGTCCTTTTATAAACATACAAGTTCATTGAAAGAGCCAAAGATCCTCATGATATTAGAATATATGATAGTTTAATCTCTACTATATAAATCTATCAAAATTTATTTTGTATTTTTATAAAAATCATGCTATCAGAAGAAAAAAATCCTTGGAAGAAAGAAAAGTCCGTTGCTATGCTATTTATGTCCTTTCCTTTAACTACTTATATATCACGAACTTCATTCTGTATGAAAGGCTTCACCTGTTATTAAAGGACATAGGGTAAAGCGGATATCTCTTTTTTGGACTTTGGACATTGCTGTTAATTAACATGTAGCTATTTAAAATGCATAGATTTTTAGACTTGTATAGCGATTTGAAACTATCTGTTGCTATTTAAAACTTTCCATATCTATTTAATTCGAATCACACTACAGTTTAGTCAACAATTCAAAATTAAGTATTTTCAAGATAGATCGAAATTTCTGTATATGAAGTGCTGAACACTATTCAAAATCTCTTTAGAATTTCCGGCTTATGACTAAGTAGCCTCCATAGTCATTGCTATTGCTCGTTGAAAAGCTAATTTCTCAAATCATTGCATACTCTGGTGCCACGCAGTACAATATTGTCAGAGAAAAGTCAAAAAGTATTAAATTTAGTCGAGACTGGTAAAGAAACATCGAAAAATAAATAGAAGTTCAGAGGAGCATCACTTGGTCACCAGGTGGAGAATGCGATCGTTCTAGACAAAAATTATTGACGAGAATAGGTAATGTCTCAAAATGCTATGCTATTTACAATAACAATTAAAACAGATTACTCAGCGCTTTTCCTCATATTATATATTCTACACTGGAAAAAAATAGTATGAATACTAAACCAAAGAGGGTTTAGTGGACTAAGAAAAAGTTTTGATTTTTGAAACGAATTCTAAACCTATTTTGGGTTTCATAGAAAATCTATGCGTATAGGACTCAAGAGACCAGTAAACGAAAAAAAGAAATTAATCATATATATGCAAAATTAATTCTTACTTTCCAGTAGCTCGTTCACAAATAAAAGACGACGGCGTCAGAGCATGACTGTATACTTTTTTTACAAAAATGAAATGAAAATAATAATCAAGGACATTATTTTTTTCACGGTTTCCTCCAAATGATTGCATAACCGTCACACCATTTTATTTAATTTGAGAAATGAATCATTTCTTCTGGTCTGGTATGACATATAAATTATTATTATTTATTACAATTTTTACTCTTTCTTAGATATAGTTGTACATTTTTATTCAAAATTTAAATATAAAATAAAACAATCAATTAAATTAATTGTTATACATATGTCACAGCTGACATTAGAAATCAGTTGAGTTTGAAATGCATGCTGATAGCAGGACTCATGCAATAATTAATGTTTGTTTATTATTATGCTCAACTTTTGTAATTATAGAAATGCTAAATTATTGATTGACTCTGTATGATTTATTTTACATTATTGTAAAATACTGACATATGCATAATTTTCATTATTAAAAATTATTATTTCATAAATATTAGAATTTTATGAATTTTATTCATCTTTTTATAATTAATTGATTGATGTTCGTTGCTATAACACATCAAATCAAAAACATATTCTACCTCTTTCTTTTAAAAACATAAATTATTTTTTTTGTGTGATTTTGCTTGCAAAAAAAATAAATACTTCCAATTCTAAAGTACAAACTTATATTGATAAACTTTCTGACACTAAGCTTGCCGAATAGATAATCAACAATCCGTCTTAGTATGTGATCTGGTGATGAAGAGGGTGATCAATTTGGCTTCAGTAAAACTCAGAATGATTGGATGAAACTCGCACCAAAAATCAAGTTAATTTTTCTGATTCTATACATGTGAGGCATATCATCTGACAACAAATCATTCTTGAGATATCGCCTACTGAACATCTTAATGTGGAATTGATGAAGGCAAATAATTTTATTTGATCGAAAAGTTCCAGAGCAATTACGAACGAACCCGAATCTAGTCATTTCTAAGAAGTTTTTCATCGAATAGCATTGGAAAAATAACAAGTATAAGTGAATAATAGGCTTGAAGTTAATCCATATCATAAACAACAGTATATTGTAGAAAACGCCGAAAAATATCTCTGAAAAACTTATTTCAAATAAGGAGAATACGGTTCTTTAGTACCTTCAGAAAACTTATTTGAAATACTTATAGAACAAACGTTTCAATGCACTGGACTAGTTCTAGCACTGATCCGATTTCAGTATTAACATGCATGTGCTAAGAGTCTCGCCTTATGAATCAGGCCTTGAATAGATCACAAACTTTTATGAAGTAATGGTGATTTATCACTGTAAAATTGTTTTTTGAAAAATCTCATCAGTCCTTTCTTTGATTGGAGTCTTCTACACTGAAGTGCGAGTAAGTACACAGATTCAAACAAACAACAAAAACACTAAATTAGAATGATAGTAATTTTCTGCGAAATTTTATCAGCCGTGAGTTGATATTTAGATACTTCATAGGCAAGTAATTAGTTAATTCTTCCAAAAGTATCTGTAGAAATAATTTTTAACTACGTAGATCGTCGGCTATTGAGTACTCATGAACTGGGTTGACTATCATAGATCAAGCCCAGTCTATTGAGAACCCTGATGCAGATATATATTAAGGATTACTACAATTGGTTTTTTTCATCGTAACCAGCAATTAGATACTATATGGATTATGCAGACTAGAACAGGCTATGAATATCTTGAACATAGTTCATGGCATGGTTCTTCTCAAGAAAACTAGAAAACTTGATTTTTCAGTTTTTTCCTTTCGTAAATTATCTTTAGATTATAATAATCAATTAAGTTTCAATATGGTACGATGGGAAAAGGTAGAAAGGAAAAATATCGAAAGGGGAAAATGTCGAAAACAAAAATAATACAAATGTAGATGAATAGAAATGCTGAAAACGAGAGTATATAGAAGTACAAGTCTCCCTCGCTCTCAATTCAATCTAACATGCGCATTTTCATCGCATATTCTTGTTTTCGACATTTTTCCTTTCTGCCTTTTTCCATCCATTCTTCAATATCATCAATAAAAGAACTGGAACTGTCTCAAAAAAATGTGTCGGCTGTGAATAGTGTGAAACAGAGACCGTCACAGGGCAGGGCGGCCCTGGTGTCCTGCCCTGCCCTGTCTTGCCCTAAAGGCAGGGCAGGGCAAGTTTTTTTATTTTTCGCCCTGCCCTGCAGGGCGTGCCAGGGCAGGGCAGGGCAGGGCAAAATATTTTTGCCCTGTTATTCTTTTTTCTCGAGACAGTTATTTGAAACAGATTTTCTAGTAAATAATTTAGATATGTTGATATTATGAGCAATTGTAATTGATATCGCTATAAACTGACTATCATAACTTTTGGCATTGTACCTAGTTGGAACAATTTTTTATTTTTATATTGGATATCATATAATCCATTTATATTTCGCATAGAAACATACAGATGATTTGAAGAGCAAAGAAAAAGCATTTCAAAATGATGCAGAATTATATAAGAGAAAAATTCAGTTTTTTTGTTAAGTATATTCATATATTCCTCTTCCAAATAGTTTCATAAATGACCGTAGTTTTGCACAGCATACTTCATATAAAAGTTAAAAAACATGCCAATGTTCCAGTTTCTTCAATTTTTTTAGTTAAATTTTCTAGTTTCAATTATTTCATTGAGTTTTCTATCTTCGATATTTTAATCTGCCGTCATATCTTATGAGTTCATTTGATACTGCAACGATTAAATATCGATTACTGACTGAAAGATCGAAATATCAAATAATAAAGAACGGATCTTCACCTGCTGTTAGATGGTGAAGAGTATTTGGTTATCCAGTATAATTAAGTAATCATCAGTTAGAAAGAATTCCTGAATTTCATAGTGGTTTCAAATGTATTAGTAATCAAGTTTACAATACGATGAGTGGTGAAAAATGTTTTAAACAACATGTTGATAAATATTTTTCAGCACTGAACACCGAAACAATATCATTATTATCATAATAAATCACTTTTACTTTGGGGCGTCATTTACCGTTTACCTTATAATAAATATGAATTGTAAGAAATTTATATTTATTATAAATGTAAATTATTTTGTTGCAAAATTTATATTTACAAATCGTTGTAAATTATTAGAATTTATATTGATTTGTAATATAAACTTTGTAACGAAATAATTTATATTTACAATAAATATAAATTACTTACCACTTAATTTACTCATAAACTAAATGAAAGGTAGACACATATTGAGATCCCTATTTTCACCCCATCTCCAACTTCATCGATACAGATAACTTTCAATCGGATCGAATTAAACAAATGATTAAAACTTTACTATTACGAGGTTTTTTAAAGCTATTAGATAGTCCTTATTTAAGCTGGATTTCCAAGTTCAGGGCCGCTCTGCCCTGCCCTCAGGGCGGGGCAGGACGGGGTGTGGGTGTGGGTGTGGGGTGTGGGTGTGTGGGTGTGGGTGGGGTGTGAGTGTGGGTGGGTGTGGGTGTGGGGTGTGGGGTGTGGGGTGTGGGTATCCATGAGATAAAAGGCAACACACCCACACCCCACAATAGCTTATAAATCAATCTTAATTGAATCAATGTGTTATTTTTGTATTGAATTACTTTCTTTACCAACTTTACCAGTTGATAAATTAAATGAAGAACATTCTCATTATCATCTTGCTATAAATATTCTTGAATCAATTCATAGGTCAACTAATAATCGTCCATCATTTATTATAAAATCTTATTTAAATACAATAAAATATCTTCAATTTTTCATATATGCATAAAGAACAATTAGAAATTATTCTCGATTGAATTATTCAACTTCGACAAGTTTGTCGATTTTCTTAATTATTTCTTTTCGATAAAATCTATTTGTCTGTTTTT